TAACAATATTAAAGGACAATCTTAATAGTGAGCTTAGAATTTTGTATTTCACAATTACATTGTCACACATTCATCTATTATTTACTGACATGKTTTTATTTATTTATTTCATTATGAACCCTGGTTTTCCACAGTAAAGGAGGGCAACTGGTTCAAATGAGCAGAGATGCTGAAGCAGCCCTGAGATCCTGTCGGTGTGACGAAGCCCCAGCATCAGCCAACCACAGCCCGCGTCATTTGCACAAGAGGGACACAGGACGCGGAGCTGCTGGCTCTCCCAGCGCCTCTCTGACGCTCCAAATAGCCTCTCTCTGCTCCTGCGTTACTTCACACCACCCCCCACTCAGGTCTGCGTTAATGGTGTGGAAATGTGAGAGCGCTGCGGAGATGCCATGGAGGAAGAGGCTGGTGCGCAAAAGGAGCGTCTCCATCCCTCTCCTCGCAGGGAAGGAACTGGATATGCTGCTCCAAAGGTGTTTTCCCGCTTGGAAGGAAGTTGTGGCATCCGCATGATTCTCTCTTTTTCTTCTTCTTCTTTAAAGCCTCAGTAAATCCTCATAGATGAGATTTCTCTGCGCCACTTCCAAGGTTCACACAGGACCACCTGGAGCTCAGATATGGCAGTGTCAAATATGCTGTTCTCTGACGTGGAAAGTTTCCTAGACTCGCATCCGGAGTTATTCGAGGACTACCTGAACAGAAAGGGGAACCACAGCATGGTGGAGAAATGGCTCAAGAACCACCAAGCGAGCAAAGCAGCGGCGGCGGCAGCAGGTTCGACGGCGGCTGTAGCAGCAGCAGTCGCCAAGCCGAGAGAGGAGAAGAGCCACGCGTGCAGGGACAGCTGGGCGAGCCAATGCGACGGCCTGCAGCGGAGAGCCTCTCAGAGGGAGCTGCGCAAAACTTTCGCCCGATCCAAGGCCGTCAACGCGAACAGGACGTACGACGAGCACGTGAACTCCAGGGCGCAGGAACCGCTGAGCAGCATGCGGAGGAGAGCGCTGCTGAGGAAAGCCAGCTCCTTACCGCCGACCACCGCGCACATCCTGAGCGCGCTGCTGGAGTCCAGAGTCAACATCCCCCAGTACCCGTCCACGGCCGTGGATTTCAAATATTACCTCAAAGCGCACAACGAGAGGGAGTTCTTCCTCGAGCTCGTCAAAGACATCTCCAACGACCTGGACCTGACCAGCCTGAGCTACAAGATCCTGGTGTTCGTTTGCATCATGGTGGACGCAGACCGGTGCTCCTTGTTCCTGGTGGAGGGAACGGGCAACAAGAAGACACTGGTGTCCAAGTTCTTCGACGTGCACGCGGGGACCACGGTGTTACCCTCAATGAACTCAGATGAGGTTCAGGTGCCGTGGGGCAAAGGGATCATTGGATATGTGGCTGAGCATGGAGAGACAGTGAACATCCCTGACGCCTATCAGGTGCTGCTCCTCGTGCGTTCAAAACATCTCACTCACTTTGTTCCTTTATTTCTCCCAGCTGACTGATGACAGGCCAATGTGTCACAGCAGCAAACCACATGAGACCTTTACATATGTTTTCACCAGGTCTTCCTACACTNCATTTCTGGACATTTATGGTTTGATTTCTTTGTATGTATGGATCACTTGGGTTGTTACCAACATCTGGTGAAAATTTCATGTCATTAGCACCTCTAGTAAAATATTTACTGAGAAAAATGGTGACGTGTTCAATACTTATTTTACCTGCTGTATACAGAGATTTATCATTCAAAAACTTTTACTTTAAACAGCTATTCAATTGATTTTCCTATTTTTATTTTTAAGTAATTTATGTGAGATTTCCGTGTCAGTTTCTCCTCAGTGATGGCACCCAGAAATTTAATTCACCAACTGTATAAATTTTAGTACCATCGATTTTAAATGGGACACTGCTAATTTTCTTTCTGTTACCAAATAATTTATAGTTTGTTTTGTCCAAAGTCAGTAACTTAAGTTGAAACCAAGTTTATATTTTCATAAATTCTGCTCGTAACACCACCAACATCTGTCTAATATATTCACCAGAATAAAAAAAGTGGTGTTACCAGCAAACAGAACACATTTTAAAAGTTTTGATAAAGCTGCAAACTGAAAATCAGCCCAAATATTAGCGGTGAGTGAGTAGGACCGCTAAAAGATGATTCATAATGCTGACTTTTGAGACACAAAATAGCTTTATTTAATTTTTTACCAGGGACTAGGCTTGAAGGGTAGCCCAGAACCAGACTGGCCACCTCAGCTGACATCTCAGTTGATTGACAGGTCACTGCATGTGGCATTAAAAGATGCACAATTATATAAACAGAAAAGATACATTTAATAAAAATACATTTCTAATTTCTACTTATTTATCAAAAGTTGACACATAATTATTGGTTAGTATATGTTTTGGGAGAAGATGCAAATGTTTTATAACATGTTGTACAATTTTTGTTAAATAAAATATCCTTTATGCTTGAATTTGCTGACAGTAATACCAACTTGTGAGTCGTAAAGTTAATGTAAAGATGGGGATCCACACCTCCATGATGACAATAACACATTTATGTGTGTGTCAAGATATTCCTTAGTTAGCAGGTTTGAGAAACAGAATATTTTTCTGTGTTGCCCCCTTAAAAATCCTTGGCCACCTTTGTGCTACACTTTGCAGAAAGTCTAGCTCCGCCACTGCTTTTTTACAAAAATGTGTTTATTTCCATTTCCATTCAAATATCAACTAAAATAAAGTCTGAGGTAATCAAAAACAGTGTTCAACCATGGATTTTTATAAAGAATGACTGTCCTGATCAAACAGGGGATGCTGCTGGTAAACTCCAGCCTCCCTGTTTTCTTTTTGTTGGAACATGTTGAGATGTAACACAGAGGAAAGAATTAGCCTGGAGTAATGCTCGCTTTATGATTCATGTGTGGCATTTCAAGGATGTTACGCAGTTGTTGTTTTATTTATTTATTTGAGACAAACACTGTTTTGTACATAGTGGGGCTACGAACTGTCATCCTTTATTAATGTCAGTGTTGTAACACAAAGTTCACAATGGCAAAGACAAAAACAACTAATAGGGGATTTAAAAAATGTTTTTTTTACTTTTTGTTTTCCATTCTGACCTATATACATGTGATATTTTATTTATTTCTGTAATTTTATTTTATTTAGTTTTGTTTGTATTAATGACTGTTGAGATGTGTGTGATAAAATTTGTTTCCTGTTGTTGGTTTGCAAAGTTTTACTAAACTAACCAGCTAGTCCATTCTTCTATTTTCTATTCTTCTTTAGGACAATCTGGTTAAGTGAATATCAGGTCAAACTAAAAAATGTAAACAGTGCACATACTGAAAAAACATCTCTTTAATAATATTTCAACAAAACAAGAAGTGAATTAGAGGTCCACTTGTAAGCTATGAGGTTAAGAGAGCTGAGTGACTTTCTCAATAACAGCATTGTAACTGAACACGGAAGCCTCCGCCCCTGTTTAATGACAGGGAGTTTAATGGCTTCCTTTGCTTCCTTTGTTCCTCTCCATCAAGGATGAGAACATCTTCATCCCAGAAGAGTGACCGCTGGCCTGCAGATGAGTGCAAACTGCAGAGTCTTGGCCTGATGATGTCGCTCTTCTGTGTTGGACCATCTTTTTAAACAGTGGCCGATTTGTTTCCCTGATGTATAACTGGTCACAGTCCTCCTGGCACTTAACAGCATACACAACATTATTCTTTTTATGCCGGGGTCCGCATCTTTGGGGTGAACCAGTCTTTGCCATTGTGTGTTTTGGGGTTTGGAAGTGTCATGTTTAGAAAATAAATGTCTCAGTTTCTTTGAAACTCTCACAGCTTGTGGAATGATCTCAAGTCTGGGTCTGGGGTCCTCTTTTGCACCCATTGGCTGGAGTGCTGTTTGGGTTTCCTGACTGCTTTGGGGAAAGCCCAGTTAGGATGGCCCGGCAGAGCGACTTCATCAGGCCAAGACTCTGCAGTTTACACTCATGCAGGTCATCTGTCACTCCTTCAGGGATGAAGAAGTTCTCATCCTTGACTGACAGGAACATTGGTTTGAGAGTAGTAAAGGTATGAATAAAAGTATTCATAGTAAAATAAATAAAGCATTATGAAATATAGATCTATGTGAATAAATAATTTTATAAATATATAATTGTGAAATACACTGAATGCATATACACATCTAAGCTTATTTTTATGAAAATGTTCACTGTCTATGTTCACTTAACATAAAACATTATTTCAACGTGAAAATTTTCACCAATAAAAAAGATTAATTTTGAGGCATTTTTATTTCATTCTAGCACTTTTTATTCCAAAGTGTCTTTTTTCACAAAGTCATCTTTTATTTCATAATGGTGTTTGTTTTCCAGTGGCTTATTTATTTCAAAATGATACTTTTTAGCAGAATGATTTGTGTGTTTTATATACAGTGGATTTACTATATTGTTCTCGAAACCACACTCATTTAAACTTTTTCCATCATGGCTTTTTAAATGACACTGGTTGTATTTTTTTTTGTCACGGATTACTTTTTTCCTTTTGTTTCATTTATTTGTTTGCAGGACCGCCGCTTCAGTGACGAAATTGACAAGCTCACAGGTTACAAAACCAAGTCCCTCCTGTGCATGCCCATACGCAACAGTGACGGTGAGATTATTGGAGTTGCTCAGGCCATCAACAAGACCTCAAGTGGGGAGCTCTTTACTGAAGATGATGAGAAGGTAATTTCATAATTACATAGCCTGTATAAAATGTACATTATAAATATATTTTTAGTTCTTTCTTTCACTGCAGTAGATAAACCGGTTTTTAGACCACCTGATTTGAATCTGCTGATATTTAATCAATTACAAAATAGGACAACCAGCACGCTGTAGACTACTGTTTAGTTTAATCCTCCTGCTGCCCTTGGTTCAAACATGACCCACAATGCCTTATTCCTAACCCCAAGTGCAAGAGAGTTAAGCACGAATGCTTTTCTCTCTGTCTGTTAGTTTTAGGTGTTCAAATGTCTCTAGGTGTTGTTCCGTTTATATTTATTTAAGTTGGACATTTATTAAAAAAGCAAACAAAGAATTGGTATAGTGAAATGGCCATCAACTCTCAGATTTATAACGATCAGCATCAACCCGAGAAAAACTCACAACAGTGGATTTCTGCTCTGAAGTGATGCTCAGCATGTCGTCATCCAGTTATTTTCTGCACATATAAATTGAAAGAATAACAAAGTTGATTAAATTCTCTCAAAAATCTTTGTCATAATCGGTCGTTTTAAGAGTTCAAAATATAAACATTTTACACCTCTTTTTATGAGTGACTGATGGCAAGTTGCTTTAAAACATCCCAGTATTGGTAGAATTTGTGGCGTTCATATTTTGTCGCTTTTACTGATTCTGATAAATGWTAAAAAGCTAAAATCCCACAGTGGTTGTTGTCGTATTTGGCAGAGAAAGAGAGAGATCTGTTGATGAAATCTGGCAAATGTGGCCAAATAAGCTGTCTGAATGAAACAGTCGGAAATGTTTTAAGAGTTGTATTAAGACGACAGAAATCAACTGTGTTTGTGGTTCCTGTTTGGACGAGTCGTTAGGTCAATAGATCAAGACGTAACTGAATAACAAAATGTCGATTCAAACTGATGAAATAGAATCTGCACAAACAACAGATTAGGAATAACACTCATTGAAGAGGGTGGAGAAGGAAGAAAAAATATCTTATAACGTCTGCCTCTTATTTGAAAAGTCAAACAAAGCAAAAGAAACTACAAATGAACAAAAAAAGTTTGAAGAATATCCAAATTTGAAAAAACAAAAACAACAACAGGATCCTTTATATTGTATCATCAAACACTGCATGGCATCACACTTTCCAAATACATTTGACATAATCTTCTCCTCAAACTTATAAATTGTTTTAAAAGTTTTTAGATTAATATCAAGAAAATTCCACAAACCTATTCCCTGAATTACAAAAATCTCCATTCCCTTAAGGTTATAGTGACTCTCTCTTTAACAAAATGTAATTGAACATTTGAACGTAATATTTAAAGAAGCCAGCAGATTGCGTTCAATCACTTCACCGCAGTCTCCCATTCTGAGCAGCACATTGGCGACAGTGGAAAGGAAAAACTCCCTTTTAACAGGAAGAAACCTCCAGGAGAACCAGGCTCAGGACGGGCAGGAGGCATCTGCCTCGACCGGCTGGGTTAGAGGGGCAGGAAAGAGATGCAGAGAAACCCAGAATGACTGGTCCCAGTGTATTTTCCTCTGAAAGAGAGACAAAGAAAAACACATGTTGTTGGTAGAAATGCTTACAACAAACAGCAGCAGAGTGAGGCAGTCACAGTCCAGCAGTCTAAGCCTACATCAGCAGAACTAAGGGATCGCTCAGGAAACCAACCCTAATTATAAGATTTATCAAAAAAGAAAGTTTTAAGTCTAATCTTAAAAGTAGACCGAGTGTCAACTTCACTGACAGAAACCGGATTTTGGTTCCGGAAGAGAGGAGCTTGATAACTGAAAGCTCTGCCTCCCATTCTACTTTTAGAAACTCTGAACCACAAGTAAACCTGCAGTCTGAGAGCGAAGTGCTCTGTTAGGAAAATAAACAACAATAAGATCTTTAATATAAGAAGGAGCTTGGTTGTTAAGGGCTTTGTACTGTATGTTAGAAGTAAAAATTTTCAGATTAATGTCATCCAGAGGAAGTGAAAGGCTGCAAAGTATGTTCCTAAGATGCTCAGGTCCAAAAACCACAACCTGTGTCTTGTCGAGTTTAGAAGCAGAAAATTGCGAGTCATCCAGGTTCATTTATTTATTTATTTTTGTCTTAAGACTTGCTTGTAATTTAAGTAACTGATTGGATTCATTAGGTTTCATGGATAAATACAATGCCTGGACAAAAATAGTTGCCACCAAAAAAAAAAAAGAAAAATAAAAAAGAAAAATACGAAGAAATGGTCAAACACCAATATTTTGTTGGACCACCTTTAGCTTTGATTATGACAYACATTCACAGTGGCATTGTTTCAATAAGCTTCTGCAATGTCACAAGATTTATTTGGTAAAATGGTAAATGGACTGTACTTATATAGCGCCTTTCTATCCATTCAGGACACTCAAAGTGCTTCACATTTCACATATTTCCATGTAGTGTTGCATAAATGTTTCACCAAGATCTTGCATTGATGATGGTAGAGTCTGAACGCTGCACAAAGCCTTCTCCAGCACATCCCAAAGATTCTCAGTGGAATCTGTGGAGCCAGTCCATGTGTGAAAATTATGTCTCTCTCACAATTCCCGTCCCATGAATCCTGGCATTGTCATCTTGGAATACAGCGGGTAAAATAAGTATTGAACACGTCACCATTTTTCTCAGTAAATATATTACTAGAGGTGCTAATGACATGAAATTTTCACCAGATGTCNCCTCAAAACATAAAGTCCATTTCAAAACTACAGCCCTTTAAGAAGAATCTTGTCTGCCATCTGCTGGACACTTTTTGTTGTGCTCATATTTAGATGTCCTATTTTGCAAATGCCTTCCTGAAATTTGGTATGCTTGTTTGTCTTTGTGTCTATGGTGTATAATAATGATGTGATTGTGGTGCTGTATTTCTGAGTGTTTTATGTGCTGCAGAACAGGAACCTGCTGTAAAACAGCAATTATGCTGAGTCAGGCTTGATTTTTAGTAATCTTTTCCTGTTAAATCCATAAATCAAATCAAATCAGTTCTTTTAGAAGCTCATATTAGGTGAAATTTCACCTGACTACATGGTGAAACAGCCACCTGGTTTGTGATTAATTTGATCTACAGGCATATTAAACTATGCAATTACGCAATTCACCTCATGTATAACATTCATAGGCAAATATGTTTTTATACATTATACATACTGCTTATTTATTCTACTGCTCATTAAGATGAGACGTTTTTTATTATTCCCTAGCTTTGAGTGTATATTTCACACCGCATTAACATTAACATTAACATTAACATTGTCTGGGATGACCTCTGCTAAACTAGTAATGAAATGTGATGCTAGCATCAGGACGCAGTGAACTCTGTGTATACATCTCAGCTAATAGTCTGTGCAGTAAGAAGCATCAAACTGTTTAAAGCAAAAAATTGTACAGAAAATAACAGTAAGGACATACTGTAAATTTACCTTCATTAAAAATAATCTGTACTTAAATTTTGGATTTATTTTTCTGTTTTAAAATCCCACACTGCGCATTGTGTTCTGTTGATACCCGACAGGATCGCAGAGCTGAGAGGAGTTTAAAAGCTGGTTCAACTCGTCTGTAATTGCAGTGTCTCATTTCTGTGGAGGAATCCAGCAGCTGACTTAATCTACAACTATAAACAGACCTAATACTGCTATTCATCTGTTCGTATTAGCTTGATTTAGTATTCTGGTTTTTGCTTTACTTACAATAAACAATGTATCGTTTCCAGGTAGATTTTTTTTCCCATAAATGAGCTCCAAAATCCAAATTTACACATGTAGGTTTTATCCTTCGACACTATTTAACATCAGCATGAGTGGTTTGCAAATAGCCTTACGTCCCTCATGTCTGCACTCCCTCTGACCACTAACGTCCCTGTCAAATTGGTTCGAACTGATTCAGTAATAACTACTTTCACACTGTTTCCCCATGCAAAGCTACAGGCAAAGAGCAGAGAACTCAATTCCCAGAACCTTGTGCTTTAGTTTTTTTTTTTTTTGGACAAGTAAATTATCTGAGCAGCTTCATACAAAGCAAGTGTCATACCAAACAGCATCTATGCAAACTACGTATTAGCACACAAAAATGTGACCGAATTCCACTTAAGAGGAAGAAAATCAATCTGCATAAAACTATGTTGGTTAAGAATTTCTGTATTTTTTACTTCTGTTCAAAGTGCTGCAACGTGAAGCGTGGATACTACAGAGAGGTGGTAAAGTAGTAATTAGCACAGTTTTAATTATTGCCTAATGTGAATGGGCCCGTTATATAGATTCCGTAAATGTGACATTCTTAAAAAGTCTTTGTTAAACTTTAGTTTGATCTGAAATGAATTGATAATTTAGTTTTCATCTGTTTAGCATTAAAAAAAAATCTCAGGAACAAGAAATAAGAAGCAAAAGATGATTAAATACAAAATACAAAATTAGCATTATCCTGTCTGTCATTCACAGAACAGCCTTTTCGACTTGTGTTTATTTCTGCATCAACACTGATGGAGGCTTTTCTCCTTCAGTAATGTGTGGATGAAGGGTGGGAAATGTTTCTGTCTTCAATGAGAGGCTTTTCCTTAGATGTCTGCCCACAGACTTGTCCTAATGAAAACTGCAACGAGTTCAAAATCCTCTCTTTTTTCCTGTCTTTAGTCAGCGAGGCGCGTTAACACCGAATTCTGCAGCATCTCAAATCTGTCCTGTCACTTTTTTGGTTTGTTTGATATGTTGTAGCTTAAACCAAATGACCACAGCCTTCTTTTTGATTTGATCCATGTTTTTTTATAATACGTACTATGTAATCGTAAAAAATTACAGTATTTTGGGCTGCAGTAGTATTCTGTGAACATCTAATATCTTACCTGCTTTAGATACAGTAGCTCTTTGAATGAACTCACTTGAGCAAACAACTAGTTAAACACAGTCTCACACATTTTATAGCAGCTCAGTGAGTGGCATTTTAGAAATGTTTACACTGATGTCAGTTTTGCGTAACACAAAGTTTTATTATATGCTAGTGAAAATAACAGCTAGCAGTAACCAGCTCAATAATATCATATCTACCAGAATTGATTTGATTTGATTTGATTAGATTTATTTATTTAACAGGAAAAGATTATTAAAAATCAAGCCTGACTCAGCATAATTGCTGTTTTACRGCAGGTTCCTGTTCTGCAGCACATAAAACACTCAGAGATACAGCATCACAATCACATCATTATACACCATAGACACAAAGACAAACAAGTATACCAAATTTCAAAAAGGCAGCATTTGCAAAATAGGACRTCTAAATATGAGCACAACAAAAAGTGTCCAGCAGATGGCAGACAAGATTCTTCTTAAAGGGCTGTAGTTTTGAAATGGACTTTATGTTTTGAGGAATGTCATTCCATGCTTTAGTATAAACATCGAAGAAAGACCTCTGGCCGTAACAGTTTTTAAAAGTTGGTAATATCAGTTGTCCTTTTGTAACAGATCTAGTTGAATGACCACTTCCAGAATTTGATTTGGGCAGCAATGCACAGAGAGTTCCATAATTGGCACCTTGGAAGATCTGAAAATATAAATTAATACCACTATTCAAGAATAACCATGGAAAATGTGTAAAAGTTTATAAAATAACATTCACATGAATCTTTATGGTGCATTTGAGGTGTTTAAAAGGCTTTAAGCTTTAGTCTTGGCCTCGCTCAGACCAGCCATTAGCTCATCAATGCAGTCAGAGTTAAACTATATTTGGGCAAACTGAGATCTGTCAAAAAGTTATACAGACAGATTAATTGTTCATAATCTTTCTTCAGAACGTTAATTCAAACAATCTGAACTATTGCTTTATAAACAGCTTAGAAAATTTGTTGATATTAAAACTTTAACAATCTCTATTGAATAATAAAATGCTGTTATTCATTTGTTTCAGGTATTTGACATGTCAGCTGTTTCAAAAGCTGTTTTATTCAACAATCTAATGCCATTTGTTAAATCCATATTTTTTAGACGTTATTGTGGTGAATAATGGCCCAACTGCTTGTAAGTTTAGCATTTCTATCTCCTGTCAAGCATTTAAGCTTTTAGTTGAGCTTCTGATGATGTTTTGGGATTAAATCAGCCTTTGTGTTTTGGAATGCAACATCCAAATCGAGCCGTTTTCGTGGCAAATCTGCTCTGCCCCCTCCTCACCAATTCAATGAAAGGTGAATGCCGCTTCACAAGCCATTCACACGGAGAGCAGGAGAAATAAAGCGTTAGCTATGTAATTTCCCTTGACTTGCTTCATAAAAAACTACCATTTGTAGAAGAGGAAGCTGTTGAGATTACATGAACCGACTGTCCCTGAGGCCTTTGCAAGTTATTTCCTTTTTTCTTTCTTTCTTTTTTTAATAAAAGTGCTTTTTACTGGTCAGTTTAGGGGTCTCTAGGCAAAAAAAAAGAAAGAAAAAAGAACAAAACAAAACAAAAACAAAACCGTCTTGTTTATAATGCAACCTTGTACAATAGCCTGACAGAATGTAATTAGGAAGAGCAGGGCTCTTCTCAAGTTTGCCTGTTGTTCCACAGATCCATAATCAGATCCCTAAAGTTCTGCTTACTAATGAATCTGCTCCTGCTGAGGTTATTGATGGCCACGGTCTCCCTGAAAGATCATTATTAGAGAATTCCTTTGGACAGCTGAAATAATATGGCTTATTGCTCAGCAGCATGCATTTTMCTGGTAATTTGAAAAAAATCAAAAACAATGCTCCTGATTATGTAAAYTGACCGACTGAAGTGTGTTAAATTAGTTTACTTGTTGGAATGACAATGAGTACGTTACGGTTAATCACCTAATTAGTTGTGTAATTCTGGATTTTAAGTATAAAACGTGGGATTGACGTGCATAATAATTGTGCCACACGAGAAGAATTTTGTTCTTGATGTGATTAATCTAAATGATAAATTAATAAAACGTTACACCTRTAAAAACATCTGTAACTTCCCTTTGTAGGAATTACAATTATTATAAAACAGTTATTGTAGACATGAATACTGAGGAATAAAGACTATAGGGAAAAGAAAGAATGCGGTCGTACGGTTGAGGCCAGTTTTGTTGTCTGCGGCAACATTGTTTTTATTTTATTACATCTTTACTTTATTTCTATTATCTTCTTAAAGCTTGAAGTTTCTGTTGAGTGTAAAGGGGCAGTCCCCATGGGAACGGTCTTTGAAAAAGCCAAAGGTTTTTTTTTTTATTATTGTTGTTTCCTCCTTGCTTGGAAATAACATTTTATGAGCTCTAAACTGGTATTTATAGAAAACAGATTCCAGAATACAAAAGATTTTGAAACTCCACCCTTATGTATTTTGTGTAAATGCCAAAAAAAACAGCATTTTGTAAGTGATCAGGTATAACCCCACCTTTAACCTGAGGATGTCTTTATTTACTTCTTTACTTTCACACCCAGCGCACAGGTTTTATACAGCCCCCGAATGCCTTGTTTCATGTTTTTGGTGTATTTTTATGGCAACGATACAGCACCACTTACAGGCTTRACATAGTTACTACAACGTTTTAGATATTTTTGGTGTTTTCATGTAGATGACATTTCTAGAAACGAGGCTGTGTCTAAAAGGACATTAAAAAAAACCCATAAATAAATAGAATGTTTCAGTCAAAACTGTGTCCACATGGATAAGGCCTAAGTTGTTGCTACATTTTTTAGCCACCGTCAGGCGGACTGCAGCCAAGGCAGTAGATATTTCCTTCCTCCTGTGTTATTGATTTTATACAGTATTTAAACAGAAATAAAAAAAAAAGATGAGTGTCAAAAACGTGTAAACACTTTTGTGGGGTAACTGACACACATCATAGTTGTTTCAGCAGCTAACAGTTAAAGCACATTTGTCCTTTATTCCTCTCTTTTTCCTGGCTTTGCATATAGTAAATCAACATGCAGCGAAGAAGACAAGAATGTAGTTTGACTCCAAACTAATTGGAGTTTGATTTAATTTCAGTCATTAGGCCACAGCATGTGATTCCAATATTTATGTGAGGAAATTATGAGTGAGTGCATGAATACGCATTAGCTCCAGGCACAATATGTTGAGGCCACTCAGTCAAACGGCTAAATGTCAGTTAAATTGATCCATTTGTTCTAACAAGCAGTAATGTCAATGAAAGGTCATTTCCTATTTGTTTCAGCTGGAAATATAGAATTTTATTATAATAAATATCACTGTTTTTCAGTCAGCTTTAATTTTACAACTTAAGGTGCTTTGTGGTTTTCGGAACAGTGTTTTTCTCAGAATATATTTTTTTCCAGCTCTGTTTTGTTGAACTATTTTCCTCAGGACCTCAGTTTGAAGAAAAAGTGACAGGTTGATGAGTTAACAGATAGTCCAGGGCRGGGTCAAGACCAAAGTGGGATGTTGCCATCTTAAAACAACTCCAAACTCAAAAAAWTTATGGCAGTTCAAATAAGTGCTCTAAACATTTAAACTGCTGTCTAGTAATATCAACAATGTTTTGATCTTTCTATAGCTGTGCTTCAGTTTGCTCTGGAAACAGAGAACTGATACTGCTACAATTTGCGTCTTCAAGTAACCATAGAATCATGTGTAAATGACAATGTAAATAATTATTAACGGTGGTGCAAAGGCATATAAATTAGTGCACCTGTAAATTACTGAGGAACTTCTAAATGTTTAAAACAGGAGCAATCCAGTTAAATTCAATTTCAATTCAAAAAATGTATTCATTTCATTAAAAAATATCTTATACAATAAAAAACAAAGAAAATACACAAATCAAAAATCTAAATAAAATGAAAGGTAGCAGAAGAAGAATACATTTTTATAATGTCTGCCCCTTTTATCCCCAGAACATATTCAAACAAAACATAATTTACTACAGTTTACTAACAGTTCAAAGCCAGAGCCGGCCCATGGCAGTCTTGGCAAATGCTAAGGGTCTGTCCATCTGGGGTGACTTTTTTAGAATATGGTTTTGTCTGCAAAATAATTTCTGATTATTCAATTTTTGAAGATTACCTGCTGTCTAGGTTTCTCAGTCTGCTTTTTTTTTTACTACATGAGGTGTTATATGGTGCAGAGGATATTTTGTGATAAAATTATCATATGATGCAGTCAAGACTAACTCCTGGTGCTCAGTGTACAAATAGAAACAAAGYAAGGACAACAACAAGGAAAACAAAATAAGTATAATAGAAGCGTTATGTTCGTTATGATCTCATATAAAGTTTAGGTTAAAGTCTGGTTTTTAGTGTTCAACCCTCTTTGTTGCTTAATTAACCCCAAGAATTTAGTAAAATGTTCTTCCAATGGCTGGAAAAGGCAGTTTTAATATATTTTTCAAGGAGAAATTAACTATTTTAATTGGACAAACATCAAAGACAAAATGATTTAGTTTGGTATGTGAATATGTGTAAAATGGCAGAGAGACCTGAAATCTTGTTTAGGGTCCTGTTCTTAGCTCTTCACAGAACCCCACTTCAAACGATCCTATCTAAAAATTAAACTTGTCTCATTGTATGAAACATAAAAGCAACATGTTAGCATATTGACATGTTCTCAATGTGTCCACAGGTTCTGCAGATGTACCTGCCCTTCTGTGGTATTGCAATCTCCAACGCTCAACTCTTTGCTGCCTCGAGGAAGGAGTATGACAGGAGTCGGGTAAGGGCCACAGGGAAAACAATAAT